TTAAAAGAAGAATAGTCGTAATTGTGTTGTTTTTTTTTGACAGGTTGGTGAGAGTTGTAAAGTCAGAAAGGGGTAGGAGGATAATGAAGGAAAGAAGCTGTTGACGATGATAATGGTGGTGATGGAGTTGAAGGGAAAAAGACAGAAAGAAGCTGTCGATAGTGATATGTTAATAAGAGAATGAAAAAGAAAGAAAGAAAGAAAGAAAGAAAGAGCTAGTTAGTTTTCAAGTGACAGTAGTGATAGTGGTAAAAAGAGACACAAAGGTCATAAATTGAGAAAGAAGGAAGAAAGACATGGAAACAGAGAAGTTTTGATGGTGAATTGCTGGCAGTAGTAGGAAAAGATAAAGAAAGAAGGTGAAATAAATACATTCTAAGAAAAGAGAAAGGAAAAGAAAGGAGAAAAGAAAAGAAAGAAAAGGAAAAGAAAGAAAAGGAAAGAGAACGATAGAAAGAAAAAGAAAGAAAGGAAAAAGAATGAAAGAACAAGAATGAGAGAAAAAGAAAAAAATGTAAACGAATGAAAAAACGAAAGAGAAAAGGAAACAAGGAAGAATGAAAGAAAGAAAGGAAGAAAGGAAAGAAGAAAGAAAGAAAGGAAGAAAGAAAGAAAGAAAGGAAGAAAGAAAGAAAGAAAGAAAGAACGGAAGGAAGGAAGGAAGGAAGAAAGAAAGAAAGAAAGAAAGAAAGAAAGAAAGAAAGAAAGGAAGAAAGGAAGGAAGAAAGAAAGAAAGGGAGAAAGGAAGGAAGAAAGAAAGAAAGGAAGGAAGGAAGAAAGAAAGGAAAGAAGAAAGGAAGGAAGAAAGAAAGAACGGAAAGAAGAAAGGAAGGAAGAAAGGAAGGAAGGAAGAAAGCAAGCAAGCAAGGAAAAAAGAAAGGTTTTTCAGCATGCAGATAAAAGTCTATTTTCAATTCATAAACCATAACTGTGGGAAAATAAAGAATATGTTCGCTGTTTATGTGATCACCATTGATACTTGTTCGAGCTCAAATAAAAACCGATATTTAAATGTTGATTTTCAAGGCAAAAGGATGTACTAAAGCAACATGTTCTTCCTCTTCTATCTTGTCTTATCTCAAATTAACTATAATAAACATTCTTGGGGTCTGCCTTAGGTAGGGGCAAATTATCCACCAATTTCAGTTCTTTTGATGAAAAGGTTGTACATGATTGATTTCGAATTATTAGATTTCAACAAAAAATATAATTCATCTTCATTAAAGTTGTTTTGTTTTGTTTTTTTTATCGCGGCAGCACTGTCAAACTACAGTCTTTAGTAAATGGAACAGAATCGAATAGGAATCAACTTAAAACTTTTGACGAGACACGAAAGGACATACGTTAACCTTAGGAGGCTTGTATGAGTTGCTCCTATGAATTGATGTACAGATTTGCTTCTACCTTCAACGGTAAAGATATCGGAAGTAAAAGCGAAGTGAGGCGTGTCAATTTACAATATAAGTATAAATTTTCCCGGGCTAACGTTTTCCCGCTGAAGTGAAAGAATTACATTAAATCAATTACTAGGTCTGCTGCTAGTAAATTTATAAGTCTACTATTCATCTATGCTTTGAATATTGCCGGCACATCTGGTCTGGTACTTGTATGCATCTACAGATTCTTGATAAAAGAATTTGCAATATTATTAGTCCTGTCCTGGCATCTCGGCTTCCGTCACTTTCCTACCGCCGTAACGTAACTTCCTGTAACTTTTCTATAAATATCTTCACGGTAATTGTTCTGATGAGCTTTCCTCTTTCGATAGACATTACTAGATTTTATGAATTTAAGCGCAATGCTAGATTGTCAGCTAGGTGTTGTCATTTAACAGTTGAAATGGCGAGATGTAACCGTAAGTTCTATGCTAACAGTTTCTTCTCTCGCACCTCACCCTTGTGTCTCTCTTCCGTCTTCTTGCTCTCCAGTCAGCTTTGATCTTCAAATATTTAAATGCAATGTCAATCGTTACGTTCCGTCTTCTTAATTACTTTTTCTTTTATTGTACTCTCTCATTAATAATTTTTTCTATTTCTTATATGCTCAATACCCCCCCCCTTTGCGTCTTAGTGGCTTTATTGCCTTGCTCGGATTGAAACATTTAAAAACATCATGTCAATTCATATCTATTAAAGAGAGGGAAGTTGTGGAGAATCTGATTGGATATATATTTTAAAAGACCGCAATAGGAAGGTACCGAGTAAAGATCGAACTCTCTACAAAAGTAACGTTCTGCAAAACTCTCTGGGTCTAACAGAGCTCCACGGCGAATGAACTTAACCTGATGGAGTGAAATGAATAAAAAATAAAAAAATAAAAAAAAAATAATTTGGACCCTTACTTTGTGTCCGTTTGATCACAGGCGTGCCGCTGTCTCCCTCTGTCTTTTTTTTTACAAATACTTTCATGGTAACTGCTCCGATTCGCTGGTTCCCAGACTTCATGAATTTAAACGTTCAAATAGACTGGCATCTTGTTCTCACCCTTTCACTGTCGAAACTGTTAAATGTAGCCGTCTCTTCTACTCCAATAGCTTCATGTCTCGCACTTCTCGCCTGTGGAACTCCCTCCCCATTTTTTTGTTTTCCTGATAACTATAATCTCCAACTATTCAAATGTAATGTCAATTGATGTCTCCAGATGCCTTGATTTATCCCTTATCCTTCTCTTCATCCTTTCCTCTATCACTCCTCTTTGCTCTTGCTCCAACTCTCTGTAACCCCTTGCGTGCTACTGGCTTCCCGCCTTGCTCGTGGTGAAACGCTTAAAAACAAATAATAAATAAATAAAAAAGTAAAAAAAATGTACCAGGAAAGTTTTAGTGAGAATTTCAATTGACAATGTAAACAGAAAACTAATTTAGAGCTTTTCATTGTGTATCCCAGGCTAACTGATTTTGTTTAATCATATAAATTCGACATCTAGCAGAAAATGTCCTTTCCAAAAATCAAAGCTATTGCCTTTTTTTCTCATTTCATGAAATGAAAGACTTACATTCATAGTATAAGTGTGGAATAATGTATAGTGGCTCGGATTGAGGAATCGGAGAGCCGAGTTCGAATTCCAATCGGATTCGTTACATTCGCATACGTGCTAATACCCTTCTTCTCCCCAACCCAACCAGCTTTGGGTAAATAGCAGAACAAACTGGTTTTTGTAGCCTTGGGTGTCAACCGGTCTAGGAGAAAGTAAAGAAAGGATTAGTCCGATGATTATGAGCAATGTCCACCGGGGTCCATAAGCATAACTGCGCGAAGGTGTTTATTAACTTAAGTCTCCGGTGGAAGATAATTCGCTATTATGATTGTCTTTATTGGTGGTACGGATAAATTTTTTTTAAAAAGTGGGTACTTGAAATCTTTTGGAAAATCTCTCTAGGTATTTAAATTAAATGTGCTGCAAGAATTCAAGAGGTTAATCATTTTCAAATATGTTATGATTAAAAAGGTATAATTGAAATCGATGATCTCTTACTGGAGACCAAAAATTCCATTTAGGGCCCCGCAAGAATGGGATTTTAGCTTGTAATAATAATTAATGCATATATAGAAAATTTGTTACATGATCGATGTTGTTGTCGAAGCTGACCAAAATGTAAAATTGAAATAGTGAAAAAGTTGGATAAAAATCTGAGCCTCTCAGAGAATTGATTTGTTTTTACGACTTATCAACCTTTAAGGAGATTATTTAAAGCCAGAAGATATTTTTAGATTGTGAGGATTTGGGTGGGGATAGTAATGATTTTACTGATACAACTCCTACTATTTAACCTATAGCTGGGGGACAAAGATTTATAGCTTCCCAAGAGTATTTGCACATAAGTGAATATATCGAATCTGACTGGAGTTGAAAATCGTCTCTCTGGTGTCAAAGTCCGAACCGTTATTCATCACACCAGCCGCACATCTAAGTTTACAGCACCTGGTATTCCCAAACAGTTACCCTTCTAGGTATCAATCAGGCTCGGCATTGCTTAACTTTAGTGATTGTATGAGAACCGGTGTTTCAAAGTGTAGCTGGAAGGGGAGGTTCTTCGGCTGGCGGAATTTTTTTCAAACATCTCACCAGATTTTACTACAATCTTAATTTCGTGAATTCAAGGATCAATCGTTATCTATCCTTTTTATAATATTCAATCCCTACCATCTCCTCTTGCATTCATACAACACAACTAAATCCTCATAACCATTATAACCCTAACCCTCTACATTGGGTGGCTCTCAAGGCTTGTATCGGGTGAGCGATAGTATATAAGAACGATCTGTTTTAAATCACAAGAAATATAGTGCAGACTACATAACTGTTATCAATACGGAAATTGGATTCAGCCAATCGAGTCCTGGGTATGACGATGAACTACACCCGGCAGCAGGGCCTCTGATCGGGAGATTGGTGGTTTCGAGGAGGGTGGAACCACCTCTTAATTGCTGTTGATTGCAGGTCCGCCCTCACCCTGGGTGGTAGCACCTGTTAGGGTCCCAGCTACAGGCAAATAGTGAACTCCCAAACAAAAACACTATGAAAGTATAAAAAATATATTTTCATAGTAAAAATACCAACAATAAATGTTTATATAAAAAAATTACTAACAATATCTATTTAAAGCAAAAATTGCCAACAATACAATTTATAGTAAAATTTAACAACAATACAGTTTATAGTAAAAATTATCAACAATACAATTTATAGTAAAAATTACCAACAGTACTGATTTATATCAAAATGACTAACAATACATTTTATCTGTAGGTGAAGGTAGATAAATACACTCAAAATATATTTACCTGAAGCCATATAATTGTGTTCCAAATTTTTAGATTTCGGCATTAAATAACCCAGAGAGGTTAATATGCCGCTAAACAACATCAACCAAACATTGAATTCCAGAATAACCTACTGTGATCACAAAAAAAGAAAAAGATATGAATCGCTGCCTTTTTGCCTCCAGCAATGGGTTAAATAGTCGCGTAGACTAGACTTTCTAGTCTTTGGTAGCAATCAGCCTGAAAGAAGTAAAACTCTGAATTCTGAATGGCGGAGAACACCAGACATGTTGTTTAGCGATTCCTCCAAATCGAAGATTCCAATAAGATTCTATCGATTCTGAACCGGCGTCGTTCTTTTAAGACGGGATACACGATTCCGTAGAAAGTCAACATACGGTAAAATTAAATCAAAGAAATACTTTAATGCCTGAATATGACCTAAAGAGTTAGTAAAAATTATTGGAAAGTTTTGCATCAATATTATGTGATGAACTGTATCGATTAATCAGCAGAAAACATCAATGAAAGAAGAAGTGTCGGAGAAGAAGAAAGAAAAAATATTCCTATCGATAATTATCGAACTGTAACAAGAAAACGAATATTGGGTGAATTATTAATTAAAATCAGGATAATTTAGTAAAATCAATATAAAACAATACGAACGAAGAATGATACCAAGGCAAAGTTTTAAAAATAATCTCAAATCTATTTTAAATCAATTCTTTATTGAAAAAAAAAATGTTAAAAAATTAGAATAAAATCTAACATCTGTTTTCAGTTACATGTTTGCCCATTGTTTAAGAATAGAATTTCGGTGTAACATCTTTAAGATATATGAAATTATATCCACAGAATATATCGTTGCTACTCTGGCTTGTTATCTACAAGGAAAAATATCTACACCTTGCAAATTTTATACTGGAGTTATATCTAGATAGGAAAAAAGGTGATATTTTAGCTTGTCATCTTTCCCTTATAGTTAGCGAGCCAAAGTGGCATCATGTTTTACTATGCAGATATATTTTTTTTATTTATATTCAAGCGATAAAATGTGAAAGTATAAAAATACAATTTTGTAGTAAAATTACTAGTAATACATTTTTATATATATAAGAAATGACCAACAATCCATTTTATCTGTGGTTGAAGGCATAAAATGCGTTCAAAATATATTTAATTGAAACCATAAAATTGGATTCAATTTTTTTAGATTTCAGCATTAAATAATACATAGAGGTCGATATACCACTAAACAAAATCAACTAAACTTGTAATGTGTGAACAATTAGTCTAAAAGTGAAAAAGATTAAAAGACAAAATTACTTACCAACGCAAAGAGTTTACACATGGATATATATATATATATATATATATATATATATATATATATATATATATATATATAAAGTGAAACATTTTTCTTTTCTTCATTTTGCTTCGTGACTAATGAATTGTTTGTTGTGGCTCGGTATGTAGTTTTAAGCTATTGTCGCTTATGTGAATTGTTCTACTCGTCAATTGGTTTCTTTGGCGTTCCCAACGAATTTGTTTGCCACTGACGATAAAAAAAAACTTTCTTAAAACAAAATAGTAATAAGCTTTTTAGTTAATTTCGTCTCATAAACATTGTCAAATCCTTTTTGCTTTTTTTTGCGGAGTGTCCACAACACAAGATTGTATTTTTGTTTTTGTTTTTTCTGACTTTTGAACTCTAACTCATCGCTGGTCAAGAAACGACTGCAAAACATAGCTTCAATGGAATTCTGTAGAAGTGATACGGTGGGGTAATAGATAGCGGCTCGGATTGAGGAATCGGAGAGCTGAGTTCGAATTCCTGTTAGATTCATTGCATTTACTTTGCTAATGCCCTTGGGATAGGCATGAATCCTCTTCTTCACCCTCCAGTTATGGGTAAATAGCAGTTCTAAAGCCTTAGATGGAAACTGGCCTACGGCAGAAAGAAATTGCAACCTACTGCAGAAAAAAAACAAAAAAAAAAAAAAAAACGCCTCGTCATTAACGTATCTTTCGATGATCGCATAAGCGTGTATCACGCATGCCACATAACTGACTGACTGATTTTGCAAGTATCCGTTCGACTTTGTTTCTTCAGTGTTGAGAGGTCAGAGGCAATCTGTTAGGAGATCCTATATGTTTTGTTTTGTTGTCAGGATTATGTAATACACTACAAATGATATCTTTGGATGATCGAAAGTTTCTTGAAAATTTTCGAGTTTCGTTGGTGGTCGGCATTTTCTTTATCTTGAGTTTTAAGAGATCATCACAGACATCATGTTTCTCAATGTTAGTTTTATTTCAAGGGGAAAGTCACGGCTCTTAAAACGTTTAAAGGCTCTCTACAATTAAAACGGCAAAAAAAAATGATTTGGGCAGTACGGTCAAATTTCTGTTTCATTTATTTCTACTTATAGGTAATTGTTAGATCTATAAATGAAATAAACTTTAATGTAAAGGGCTTTGAAAATATATAAACATTTTGATAACTATTTAATTATTTTGATATTTTGATATCTAATTAAAAATGAAAGAATAAAAAAAGAAATTATATAAAGACTATGAAACCATTTTCTAAAAATAATCATGTTAACTTTAAGCAATATCCCGTCCTGGGTATGACGATATACTACATCCGGCAGCAAGGCATTTCATTAGGAGCTTTTGAGGAGCATGGATCTACCTCTTTACCTTATTCCCAGGTCCACCATGCAGGGTCCCAGCTATGGGCAAATAGTTAACCTCTCAAAATGGGTCAAAACACTATGAAATTGTGAAATTGTAAAAATAGGTTTTAATACAAGTAATACTTTTTTGGAAAAATTATTAACAGCAATACATTATTGCCAGCAGTACATTTTTGAAAAAGGAAAATATTATCAGCAACTTATTTTTGGAAAATTGTTGTGGTAGGATCCACCTAATTTGCATAGTGGAGTACCGACCATATAAATATGGTTGGTACCGGGAAGACGAGGGGAGGAATCAAGAGATTCAACCAGAGACTCTGCCCGACTGCGACTCAGTCAACACATTCTCCAGGAACGGTCTTACCAGGAATATACAAAAGACGATATGTAAATATTGTGTACACTTTCTTGTTTCAATACATTTTGTTCTAAGTACATTTTGTGTTGCATTATTATTCCATGCATTAGTCAAGTTTCAACAAAAATAAAAATATTACCGGCAATACATTTTTGGAGAAATATTACCAACAATACATTTTTGAAAAAAAAATATATATTACCATCAATAAAAACCTTGTCGGCATTAAATAACCCATTAAAGTTGATATACCGTAAAACAAACCAAACCAAACCACAGTTAATAAATGTCAATTTTTTTTCAACTATATTCTTAATTTCAGATACTTTTTATTGCAACTTACAGATCGTCATCATATGGCCGTTGCAAATCAGGAGGGAAAATAGATACGGATTTAACTTCCTTTTACGTTTTCTGTTGACTCTAGGTTCAATTCTTTAGGTCTTAACCCTACAGAAGAGACTAAACAAACGACTGACAATTTTTTACTTTTATCTCGCTCTATATTTATGATGTAAAGTAGTTTTAGCATTAATATCTAAGTGGAAACGACGAGACATAATTAGAGGTCGCATATAAACCAGTTCATCATTACGTGTCGACTTGCCTCATAAAACAAAGAGGGTGCGGCGAGTAATCTAGACAATAATTCCTGCAGCCATCTAAGTACTTTCGTAGCCTTTTAACCTTATACCGAAACTCTGTCAAAATTCCGCATCCACAGGACTCTAACTGCCACCACTCAGTTAGGGTAGTCAGAGTTCTGACCAGTTGTCTGTCATTCTGCACCAGATTACATACACTGCGATAACGGTTCTTATTCTTTTACGTGCCCCTATCAATTCTAGAGATGAGTGATCATGGTTCTCTTTAACTTCCCCATCCTTTCGAACTTTAAGCAATATTTGCCCCTTTAATCTTCCTCCCAGCCTATGTTCTGTCATCAATTTACATCAACTTTCAGATGTGATATTTGCTTTTTCTTCTGCACCTCTTGCTTTCAGTATGTCCTGTGGGTGTTAAATTCTCCAAGTCCTCTTTCCTTATGCGTCCAAGAAAATATCACCTGTCCTCTAATATTTTTTCGGTGCTCACATAAGCCCAGACGATACAGGAGAACTGATATTACATAACGATATTATCTATTATAACACGCTTATATTTAACTATCACAATACAT